TACACAGCTCGTGGGAAGATAGCTTTGTAGAGCTGTAACTGCTGACAGGAGTCAGTTGGGACGTTATGGCTTTATATCGACATGCCTTTTTTTTTTTAACAGTTGACCTGATTGGTCAACTGATTGCATTCCCTGCATTCCTTGTGATGCTTGTCCTCATTATGGTGGCGGGTGAGCTTGTGTCTATCCCAGCTGACCTTGAGTAGCATAAGCAAAAACAAGCATTCACCCTCACCATCACATCTCTGGACAAGAGTTGAGTATTCAGGAAACCCAATGTGGATACTTTTGTAATGTGGGAAGTCAGAGCAGCCGGAGAACACCAAATTCAACCTACACGAGAAGTCAAGATTCGAACCCTGAACCTGCACTAATTCACCAAGCTGTCTGGGTTCTTTCCTATTGAAAGAACACAAATGGGAGGGGAGAGGAGCTAGATAGCGTAGCAGGTTATGCATACTCGGTGGCACCACTGTGTTGGGCTCAAGACGGGCCCAATCGTAGCCCCGCAAACACACTGACAGGTTTTCCAGCAAAACCATCAAGTGTTGTATTGTCTTTTATCATGACAGCTGCGCCCGTGCGACTTTCACATTTTGACAGTTTGTCAAGCGCGAAAAGCGATTTTGCCCGGCATGAATACGCAAAGGCAATCGGAGAGTACTTTTCTATGGAGGGTCAGTCCCTGGTTTAAGTTCAAAAGGCATAACTAATGTGTCACAGGACCAACCGTTTGTTTTTTTTGTCTGCCATTACTTTAAAATGACTGCGAGCAGCTTGTGTTCCAGTCCATCACCATGCAAGCTTTACTCCAGCATCAGCAGGCCAAGCGAACCCCGTGCTTTTGTTGTGCATGTCTTATCATTATGATTAATTTATTTTCTCACGGCCAAGTGTTGCATTAGCCTGTGTGGGCTCGCAGCTCGTCCGTCTGGGTGAGGCTTTCTTCAAATGTGCGAGCTGCAGATAGAGAGAGCCGGCGCAAAAGATGAAAAGATGGCACGCTGGAGCTGAGAGAGGACGGATGAGTCAGCGTGTAGGAGCGAGAGAAAATACATGTGCGGCTCTCTGACAATCACCATTGTTTTCTCAACTCGCACTGCAAAACACTTGAGCCATGTATCTGGATGGCTACACATTCTCCGTCTGTCTGCTTGTCTAGTTGCTTCTGCCAAGGAAGCAATATTTTCTCCGTTCGCCCTTCCGCTCATTCATTCTGTTCATCCATGCATCTATCCATCCATCCACTTATGTCTCTCAGTCCATCCCTTCATCTATCAGGCAATCTCGGTCTGGCCTGCCACCTATTTTTCTCTCTGTCAATTCATCTATTGGGTTTACCGCCGTCATTTTCCATCTATTGAATGTTTGATAATAAATCAGCATTTTGGGGAGCATTTGGAAGGCTTCCACTGTTATTTTTTTCGCAGCGCAATTCAATGGGCATCAGATGTTAAATCTGGGGGCCGGGCTAGTCCCATTCCCCTGTGAATACAGGTATTGGGGATCGACTGGAAAATAAAGAAGATTGGATAGCTTGGTTTATTTTTTGATCAGATCGATAATCAGTTATGGGTTTTTTTTTCAGCTCTAAAATTCTGATTGTCTGAAGCAGGGGTGCCCTAACCAGTCGCGATCACCCGAAGCCTGTCGACTGGTCCCAAGAAGATCGCGAGGAGATAGGAGGAAATGGGCGGGGGGATGTGTCTGTGTATTAAGATTATATATGTTTGTGTTAGTGTATACTGCATGCTAAACAGACTCAGTTTCACCCCCCCCCCCAAAAAAAAAAAACTACAAAATAAAACAAAAGAAGGTCACCTTTAACTTACCATGGCGCATGACCTTCCTCCCCGGATGTTGTTTGCCAGTCAGCAGTCTGCAATTGCAGCTTGCGATATATATTTTATTATTATTCTCCTCAAGTTTGTTTCATCTGCAATTCACTGATGGCGCTAGGAAAAAAAATGGGAATCTGGAGCGCCAGGAGAAGCATTTTAAAACGGTACACATACGTACAATCGTTTCTGCACTTAACACACTGCAAAAGTGCGTCCCATGCCTCCACGTCAGGTCTCTAATAAAATAGGCAATGATTTACTTTTCACAAACTCTTGTATCTACTTTATTTTTCAGTTTCGTTCATGTGAGCTGTCGCTGTCTAAAGTATTCATCCAGCCATGCAAATAAACTACATTACAGCAATATACAGAGGAAAACTGAAAGGTTGTTGTGAAGATCAGTTACTCCTGCATAATTGAATGCGACGCAGAGACACGTCGCACTTTTGACCACTGTCTTGCCAAGCCACCATCGCCAGACTTCCTCTTTAACGACAGGCAGAAGATATGAGCTCACCTATTTCACAGATGAGCTCATACTGCAGTGCCTTTTGTTCGCTCATGGCCAACACACCCCCTCGTGTCTGCCCACCATGCACATTAAAATATTAAACGTCTTCAGAAACATCCGTGTATGTCACCGTTAGGTGCACCGGTACATAAATGTGGTTCGTCAAATAAACCGTATGCCGAATTTTTCCATCTTCCCTCTAGCGACAAAGTTCAAAATGTCAACCTTCGTCACGCCGCAGAGAAAAGTGTACATTTGCTTGTGATGCCGTCATCGTTACCTCGGGCGACAAGGTCTGCGAACCGATTTATTGTGAATGTTTTTGTGACTTTCTGGTGTGCGTCCACACATTTTCAGTAACGACCACTTGCGCTGTGTCGCGTCCATCGTGTGTGATTTATGGCAACATTGTTGTCTGAAAAGATACACGATGCTTAGTTTGCAGGAATGAAAGACAAGAAAATATACGGATCAAAGACAAAAAAAAGGACGGGGGTGGAGCGGGAGTTTGTCATGTCATCTCAAGGCGAAACTGTCATTCAACGACAGTGTGGGCCGCTCAGGCGGGGAAAACTGCATGCGCAAGCTGAGCGGTGTGGTGTGGGAGGAAAGAGTGAGAGGCAAGCGAGGCGGGAGCTATTCAGAGCATACGATGCCACCCTGACAAGACAGCGAGACGCATGACATGCTTGCGTTTACACATCACTTTTGAACACAACTCAGCTGGGAGCACTGACAACATGTTTGCGCTCTGGCATGTCTGAAAAGTACTCATTTAAATAGACCACAACATGATTCCTTGATTAAAACTTATAGCGAGCTGAAATATCAGAATGTATAGCTTGCACCCATTTCTTTTGCCCAAAACATTCTAAGGCCCGCCACACACCTAGTGACACGGACAATCACGACTGAACAGACACACTGCAACTCCAGTTTTCATGAGTGGCCAATCACGTGTCGAAAAGCAAAGCACAGAATGTCTGTCGCCAAAATGCACCAGTGCAGTCAATGAATGGGGCAGTCACTGCCAACAATCTCTCAATTAGCCAATCTACACCAAAGTTGCCCAAATCCAGTCCTCAAGAGCCTCTACCCAGCCTGTTTTAGATGTCTCCGTCTTCCGACACACCCGATTCAAAAAATCAGCTCATTCGCAAGCTTTGCAGAAGCCTGATAACGATTCTGACGATCGCATGGCATCAACATGCCAACTCCAAAGGAAGGCCAGGTCGGCTATTCCTTCAGCAAAAAAAAAAATATATATATATATATATTTTTTAAATGGACCTCTACAAAGATAATATTGCCGCTCCGTTTTGATTGACAGATGAAGTCAACAAAGTCAACAACCGTGAACGTCAAATAGAGTCACAACCTTGGCCGCAAATGAAAATGGCAGAATTGAAAAGAGCAACATCAAGTATAACTGCTGGAGATGTGTGTGTCCACAGACATGTGTGAGTGTGCATCTGTCCGTTCATGTTTATCTCTAATACAATGATTATTTCAGTTATGGAGTAAAGGAGTCCTCTTAGAGTTCATTCCTTGATGCTGGCATCAACTGCTTCCAAATGCGTGTGTGAGAAAACCCAACGGATGTGTCTTCTGGTTTACACCCAGAGGGGCTAAATTGCTGTTTGTCCGCCTCCCTTCCAAACACATACACGCAAACACGGTGTCTACAGAATGAAGCAACATTCCTGCCGCTTGTCTTTTTCCAAGACATTTTGCTGTATAAATACATTTCACAGATGTTATCTTTGCACCGAACGAGCATCCGCTCATGCTAATTTGCTAATGTGATCCAGGAAAAGATATTGACAAAATTTTGTAGACTCTGGTGACTAAAATGATTCATAAAATAAATTGAGAAATTCACAAAAGCACCTTATGGTGATATTGCCACGCAGCTCATTGGGCTGCTCGCGTGTCCCTAATAAAGTGGCCTGCAAGTGTATACCGTCTTTGTGCTGTTCTGTAAATCAGACTTTCCACCTCCAAGTGAGTCATGCACACTCTGTGTGTGTGTGTGTGTGTGTGTGTGTGTGTGAGAAAGGTGAGTCCAGAAACCAAAGAGGAAGCGATGACATTTTCCTGTCAATTTGTGTACGTGTTCAACTCAGTAAATGTTTCTCAGTGAGATTAGAGACATGTCTTACGTATAACTTGCTTGTCGACTTCCAGTTTCGCTGTCATAAAGCTTTTAAGTAACATTGTCACTCTTAACTGGCATACATGTGCAAAGTTCAGCCTTTCGGGGAATTTGACAAGCAACATAAGAATGTTTGGGATATTAAATTTAAAAAATATATATGAATAATATATTTTAAATGAGGTCAGCTGAAAAAGCTTCAGCCATTTTTTTCAACTTTAACTTTCTTTAATTGGTCAATTTCACTTGCAAAATAGCATGTAGGTTAGGGGAATGTAAATAGGTAAAATAAACAGAACAAAATAAGGCTGGCAGAAGAGTTTAAAAAACTGTTTTTTCAGCTTTAAAATGGGACAATTTGACTTGCAGTATAGTAGGGATAGTTAGGGGAAGGTTTGCAAATAATGGAGAGGTAATAAAAATTCAAACATAGGTAAAATGAGGCCAAGAAAAGCATTTTTATCCCCATGTTATTTAAATGTTCTTCTACATATTTTTTTAAAACAGGCCAATTTGTCATAATAGTTACAAAAAAAATGATATACCTTGTACTTGTTGTAATGTGGCCCTCTGGTGGCATGCTGATGAAGCTCGACAATCCTCACACAATTCTGTTTCAATCCATCTGAGGCATTTCGACATCCATCTCACTTCCAGGTGTGATTTGGCTCATTCCTCCATTCGCGCTCACCAGTGCTGCAAGGCGCCACATACGATGACCTCATCGTCCTGCCCGGGCAAGTTGGCACAGAGAGAACACAGGAGGGGGGGAGAGGAGTCAATCACAGGTCATCTAATCGGTGCTCGCAAGATGCCCCGTAACCATGGCGACGAGCCCGAGTGCCAACAGAGTGTGTGATGTACGCCCCCGCTCCCAGCCTCCCGCGTGTTGGTTCCACATGCACTTTTGTGTACATCAAGAGGCTCAGTGAGTTCATCAGTGCCCCAAACCGCCGACACATTTACAGTCATTAGCCGTTGTTGAGCAACATATGGCTCATGCATACGTAATGTGTCGCGGGGGAGACGGGGGGGGGGGG